ACTGAATCATCTCTTACTTTTCAAGGAAATTGCATTTTTCCATTTTTGTATTTGAAAATTTGCTCACATAAAGATCTCAATTAGACTAACTTGTATACCGAGTTTCAGAAATTCTTCGATGGACTCTCTTCGAGATATACATTTTTTTATCTATATCGTTTAATACTAGACTCATGACAGTGTCATATTAATTCTGATTTTGAGAACTGTTCCAAAAATTCATTCAATAGAAATTGATATGTTTGAGCTCACTGAGGTAATACAGTTCAATTCTAGTTTTTTTTGTTACCTCAATACATCACCACGATTAGTGTCATGCAGATCATATGGAAGAGAGTCCCAGAAAACGTCTGATTCTTCCCAAACAACGCTTTGCTTGCATCAGTTAATAGAACAGAATAGGATGTTCAGTGAAATCACCTAATTAGGTGGAATAAAAAAAGTAGTCCAACCCTAGTATGCCGTTCTCGCAAAATGTTGTAGATTTATTTAATACATGCAGATTTTGAATCATGCATATTTCGGAACATTGAAAACAGGATTTTTTTTGAATAGTTTGATCTTACATAGAAGAATTTGATAATAATCTAATATCTCGACAAAAACACAACAAGATCATCAAACCTTTGAAGATTGCTATAGTTCGGTGGTCTGCTATTACTCAGTGAAATATGGACTCGAAAATATTTTTAGCCATTGCGAAAAATGCTTTATTTCTGTATTAAAGGAAATGGTAGGGTTCTGAGCATGAGGCACGGGTGTGAACTTTCGACTTGTAGAAAATTTTCAATTTGTTCCAACTAAATCGTATTTTTTATTTAAAAAAAGGTTGTAAAATGAAAAAAAAGCTAGTTCAGCATTTCCTCATACTTTCAACTTTCAAAAAATAAATTCGTTGTACCCCAAACTTTTTTATCTTCGTCATATCCCTGGGAAATAGTGAGAGTTTTCAATAATATTTGTAAACTTTTCTCTTATGAATGAAAAATTTGAACGGTTCGACTCACATAAAAATCTATTCACACACTTACTAAGCATTGTTCTGGTAGAGTATTAGTTTCAGTTTCATCCTAAAACTGTTTCTTTATCCGAAAATAGTACCTACTCATGTAAAAACATAATTAAATAATCATCATTGTCTTTGATTAAAAAGTAGTGAAGTAGTAAGTGATAAATACAACATCATTGATTATTTTGAGTAGTTTTTTGATAAAAAACAACTGAGTACTCGTTATTATTTTCATTTAATCGACTATTTTCGATTACTTTTTGATTATCGAATAGAACTTTTCTTTTTACATCGGCTGTACCTATGAAAAGATTTGTGTTCAATCAAGCTTACAATGTCTGAATATTATGGATAATTTATTCTTCGCTGAATAGTTCGTATAACTCTTGGAGTGACACATCGATGTTCTTTGAAAACGCTTCTTATTTTAATAGTACTATTTTGATGGTTTTTTTGACTTAAAATAGTTTTAGAATTCATATTTCCATTTCCTAAAAGATTACAAATTTTCGTTTTAGACTAATTCAAGAACGAATTATTTATTTCGAAATGTGAAAGAAGTTATACTGATCATTGATCAGAAATGCTCCTTCCATTCAATTGAACATCTATCGACAATTGTTAATTTATCGAGTCTACAAAAGTTGGTTTTAGGTTTTCGGTGCAAGTGTATGTTTGTTGCCAGTTTAGGTGTAGAAATGGAAACTCTATTCAAAAGAGCATGGAATCTGCGTTCAATTCACATAATCCGTAACAATTCTGAAAGAATCAAGCTAATAACTTTTAATGCTATTTATTTGAAATTACCTCATCATATAAAACGTCTTGATACTGATATCACATAAATGAACGACGTAAAAGTAATTTTGGAAAGAGCCGAACATTTATCAAGTGTCACATTTCGAAAACCCAATCCACAGGTTTTTGCAAACGAGGTCACTGAATGGCTCTCGCAAATGAAAAGAGAATTTGCATATAAGATAGAATGACATTTAGGAAGAGACTAATCAGTTACTCACAAACATATCAAACGAATGCATCACTATCATTACTCATAATTTATTGGTTTTATGCTTCTTGACACGCTTGATTTCGAATGTTCATTGGCAGATCAATCAACTTATCGAACGATTAATCTTCAGATAAAAGTCGAAATATTTGTGATTATAGTCATTTTTTCATTAATAAAGATGTAAGCTTGAAAAACTTGTACGTATAAATCTTCTCTTCATACAGACTCATACTCCAAATGCAATTGTTGCATCGATATTTTATTTAATTCAAATGCTTGTTCAAAATAATCACGTGGATGATCGAAGACATTCAATACTTAAACTAGTGTTATTTTTTTTTTCAAAAGAATTCGATCATTGCTCAAAACAGGGTACTTTATTCATGAAATCTTGTTGGAATTCTTAAATTAAGAAGTAGATTATTTATATACACAATTTCTTGTAACGAACATCCAAGTGAATTATTAATATGAATAACAATTCTTTTGAAAACGACTTGTTTCATAAGACATTGATGATTTTTTTCCACAGTTCGGCGATTATCATTTAGAAAAAAAGTTTTGAATATTTTAAATCGGTAAGACTATCGAATAATTTTATTATCATATTTCAAATAGCGATGAATAAGAATGCTTTATCAATTAATGTTTATGAGAAACAATATTATGTTTAGGAAATAAGATTGATTAACTAGTGAATATTAGACTGAGATATTCACATCATCAGATTTAACATAATTCAAACTGAAAAGTCTCGATGAATTCTCTAAAAAATTTATTTTTTGAAAATAAAAATACAAGAAAAGAGAAATTTTCAAAATTGTCTTAAGATCATTTTAACTAATTGTGAATTTTTCCATATTAGTTATAATGATTGAATAATTAACTTGATTCATGGGAGACTTTTAAAATGAACTGAAGTTGAACTTATTTTTCAACAGTTATGTCGAATAAAACTTAATTGAAACCCATCAAGATCAATTTGCTTCGAGTCTCGATTGAGTTTCAATGGAAACTTTTAATGAAAACAACAACAACAATTGATTTTCAAGATAAAACATTTATTGACAAATTAACATATAAAGAGATAATAAACTCTTGAAACATGAAAATTCAATTAAGTAGAAAGTTTATGTCTTCGATCGAAGTATTTTTTTCCCAAGATTAGTCTAAAAAATTCAGATTATGTATCTAAGTCGAATGAATTTTTATCGAAAGCATCCGTTTTGTCTTCGTTTCTGTTGGGTAACTCAAATTTTGTTAAGATCTATTTGAATGAATTGTTCTTTATAATAATGTCGACATACAATGATCAAATGAATTTTCGAATGTTGTGCAAGAAAAAAAAACAAGGAATGTGAAGTGTTGAACAAATTATTCAACAATATTCTTATAGCCAAGCAGAGTATTAAAGGTATACGATGGACTCGATGAAAGGTCGAAAGTTTGGCACGTATTTTTTTTTTGTTCGTTCTGTTTCATTTATGACTCTACGAAAGCTGTCGACTCAGAGCACGATCAGGCAATATGTTTCAATAATTTTCACCATTCTCCGCCATGTAGAAGTGAGGATCATTGAGTGTTTTGCTGTTCGATGTGTAGTCGTTGTAAACCTGAAAACGAGATCAACATAATTGTCAGATTAGATGATGTAGAATTATCAATAATCTAGAGTTGGTGAACATAATTTAGTTTATAATTCAGCAACATCGAAGTAAATAACAATTCCTGTAACAGACACATGCAAAGTGATCGAAGATTCAATGTATTATCATGAAGGAATAAAACAATGTTCGATGTCCAGAGGCAGCGGCTTATTGAGAAACGAAGAAGATGGAAAAAAATAGCTGCGATTCGAGAACGTTTGCTATTCACATTTCTCAATCATAATGTGCAACCCACAAGTGACATAAAATAGTTAGCATGCGCTTACAATATTTACTAGAAAACGAAAATCAAACCATCTGTCGCTGAATTATTAATACTCAAACGTTCAATTTGATTATCGGATCAAAGTATTGAAGAATTAAGTTTATTAATGTTTTATCGATTCCTTGGGGTGAGAGCGAAGAAAGAGTTTATTCAGTTGTTGTTAAAAATCGTTTATTGATAGCAGTAATATTGGTATGAAAAAACAAGTAACGTCTTTGACAAGTATCAATGAAGGATGCTAGTGTATTTCGAATTGTCATAGAAAGCACAGTACAGCATATAGATATCGAGATGTTTCAAAATAGCAAGTAATATTTCATTGCTTAATGATTCGATTTAGAGAGTGGTTGTGGAAAAGATATATTGATTCAATCGAGAAAATAATAATAGATGAGAAAGCTCAGCACAATGAAAAATGGTGTGTCAAATTGAACCTAGTGAACGAAAATAACGAAACATAGTTCATGTCACATATCAGATACTATCTTGAGGAAACTAGATAATACAGTATGATTCGAATGTTGTATGAACCATAATTGTTCTAACGGGTAACAATATCTCAGATGGTATCGCGATAAACTATTGACAACTGAAAATGATACAAATATTGCTGATCTCATCATACGATATTTTAATCTCACCAGTTTATGTATAAGACAAGGTAAATTTGTTGTTGTTGTTCAATATTATGAGTTTGTTATTAAAATGTATTTGAATATATTGTTGCCTTCGTCAAACAGACAAACAGAATTTGAAATAGCTTGTATTCATGTTGTGGAAAGTGCCGTCCATCAATCGGAATTTCCACAAGTACAACATATTATTGGTGTGAGCAATCAAATTCGTATGCATGGTGCTGAAGAAAAATGACAACATGATCAAGATTCATTGCCTAGTATTCTTTTTTTCTGTTTAATTTCATCTTTTGTTATTGTTGATCAAACAAAAATTAGTCTCGCAATCTGAACAATAATCTCAGTCGATAATAAAGTTCCATGTAATAAAGGGGTATGGAAAAAGAACTCACCACTCTTCGAAACTATGTCAGCAAAATAGACACCTTTACCAAACATATAGCCTGTCTATAATAAATAAGAAATAATTTAGAATTTATTACTCTTTGCCATAAAATCGAATGATGTGAACAATTAATTTGAACTACTCGTTTTATGTAGAAAATTATCCTTAAAACTTTTCTTTTAAACTCAAGATCACTAACAGTCATAATACAAGAGTATCCATCCAAGAACTTCTTGCAAGAAATACAAAAGATTATATTTAGCTGTTCGAAAAATTATGAAAACCTTATTGAAATTGCCTTTATTTTTTTCTGAAACTCATCACTTTGAACTGACCACTGGTGCTTCTGGTGGAGCAATACGTAATCCTTGACTAAGAATTCCAACAAAATTTGTTGTTCTCGAACCATGCCTTAACAATTGATGATTTTTAACTTTTTGGCATTTTTTTAAAACGATCATTTTCACCTTCTCGTACTATTTTAAATAATTCTTTCTATCTTAATATATATGTATTATGTGTTATTGCATGTGTATTTATCATATATTGTTCAATTCGTTTAAATTCTTCTGTATGTTTATTAATCGGTTCAATTATACATTTTAATTTTTTTATAATGAACATCAATCGGATGTTCATTTTCTTCATCTGTAGATCCTTTTAACATTGAACAGACTATTTCTGTTTCAAGCAAATTATTAATCATTTGTGTTTTTGATTGAATTAATTCAATATTATCAAGAATTTTTAGTGTTTTTAAGACCAAAATCATGAGGAACAAGTGTATAAAATCGATTACTAGCATCAATAATAGATGTTTTATTTGATAAGCCTTCTTTAATTGATTACTTGACAATTTACCTAATGGCATTTTTGTCAGATCAATTTCAAATGAAAGTAATGTTTCTTTCATTGTTTCAATATTAAAAATCAAACAAATAAGATCTTGTACAGGTGATGGAAGATGAGAACAATTTTTTGCATTAGAATTATTTAATGCTTTTTGTATATCATCATCATCATTACTATGTTGTCCATAATCAATTTCTAATGAATAATGTTTAGTTGGTAATTTTTTAAACGTTTCTCGATTAGTTCGATTAGTCCAGTGATTACCAGTTTTATCAAAAAATATTTGATGAAATGCATTGATTGCTTTAGATTGATTATAATATTCTTCTATTTTATGACCACCAAAAGTTGTACCCGTACGACCCTTGAAAAATTAAAGAATATGAAAAATAAAAATATATACAATATTATCTACTTATCATGCTCGAAAAAGAAACCATCTTTTGTCATTATTATTTTCGAGTAATTGAATTTTGTAATATGAATTAGTATCACGGGTTATATCAACTATGCCGAGTACTGTCGCAAAAAAAACACCAGTTTCATTATCTTTCAATACATGACATGTTTCTTCGAGTCCTGTAAGAAACAAAATCATCTGGTCAGTTGACTTTATTTACAGAAAAAATCGAATATATTGCAAAGTCTGTTGCTCACGAGAGAACCAATTCAAGCGTGAAACGCCGCTCGACGTCATATTTTGATTATGAATAGGACTCAGTGAAACTATGAAAATCCTCAAATGGCTCATGTCTATGCTTTGCCCAACCAGAGTTGTGGCTGCTTTGGTGAGTTTTCGGCTTCTAGGCAAAGTATTTATGGAAAACGAAATAATGAGATTTTCACCAGAAATTTTTTCATAGAGAGATAGGTCTTATGACCAATAGAATATCCTAATAATTTCAGTTCCAACAAATGTATCTTTCTTGAAATATCGAGTGTTTGAAACAACTCTATTCTTTGACTCACCTTGTAATATGCATACAGCCATTCTTTGGAAATTAGATATCTTCACAAGAATACATACGTTGGAATTGAAATTATTAGGATATTCTATTGATCGTAAGACCTATTTATGAAAAAATTTCTGACAAAAATCTCATAATTTTGTTTTCCATAGATACTTTGCCCAGAGGCCGAAAACTCACCAAAGCGGCCATAACTCTAGTTGCGCAAAGCATAGGCACGAACCATTTTAGGATTTTCATAGGTTCACTGAATCCTACTCATAACCAAAAGATGAAGTCGAGTGGTGTTTGACATTTGAATCGGTTTCCTCGTTAGATTATTATGAACATAGAAGAAATGAAAATGAATCAAAATTAATCTATTGATATTTCGTTTAAACCATGCCTATGTGCATGACTCTAACATAGATATTTGGGAGTTTTCAGATAGTAAACCTTAGTTTTAATTGATAGAGAAACTTACCAGAATCAGGATCGACTGCAATACCATCTTTTAATTTCATAGTAACTTTTTCTGGTAGGAATGTTTTTGATCGAGCTACAACAGCGATTTGAACTTATATTTTTTGAAATGATTCGAATAAAATATTTACCCATAGATTTAAATGTAGTCGGAAATTTTTGTTTTGTTGTTTTCGAATATGTGGTAATTTACCACAAGTTGTTAATTTTAATTTTTCCATCACAATCGATGATTGATCATTAAGAATATCATCGAGAAATTGTTCAGGAACAATATGAATTTCGAAATATTGTGCATCTTGAATTTTTTTACTCGCTTTTTGTACTTCATCTATATAGAATAATGAAAATAAAATAAACAATGAATTAAAGAAATAAAAATAACCTTGTGTACTAATGATTACATCGACTGTTTTATCAATAGTCGTAACAACAGTACCACCTAATTGTTCAATTTTGTTTTTTTAAAATACTTGTCTTCTTTGATAAACGACCGACTAATGCAATAGAATAGCCATTAAGAGGTGATTTAGAATCATAATCAGGTCTAGAATAATAGGGTGAAATGATAAATAATTCTACGAGAATAAAAAACAATAATCATTTACTCATTAATCTGCACTGTTTCATTCATCAACTTTGGTTTCTTAAAGATTTTTGTCATGATTCGATCTCGTTTTGTATATTTGTAGTTTTTACTAGAAAATCAATGAAGTAGATAATAATTGAATTTTGTTACTCGTCTTGATTTTGAAATAACCAATTCGTATTATTTTTTTAAATTTCGAACGAGGGAATACTGATTTTCTTATGAATAAAAACAAAAAGATCTTACAAAATGTCGTATTTTTCTTTAATTTTATCTGGCATTTCAAATGGTTTTCGTTTAGATAATATTGTTGAATAAGAACATGGTGTTAACGATAATTTGCATAACTAAATATTAAAATTGAAACAAAGAATCGTTGAGAAAAAAAAAAGATCTAATGACTTACTTGAAAATAAGAAGAACCACCACATTCTGGGCATGGTTCAAGTGCACTGAATGCCATATAATCAGTTACAGTATCAATTAACTGAAATGAATTATTAAATTAATTCAAAGGAATCAATCGAATTACATTTGATTCTCCAGTAACTGATTTTTGAACATTAAACTCGAGTAATTCTTTTAGAACATCGATTGGAATATCTTTTCGTAAATTATCTTTGTAAGTCCATAGAAATTCACTTTGTTCCTGTAACAAACAAACAATAAACAATTCTCAACTATAAATAGAAAATAAAGAACCTTTCTAAGACGTGTGTCTTCCTGTTCATCTAAAATTTCCGATTTTACATCTTCGATTTTCGCTTGTTTTACTTGTGTCGATTCATTATTTATCTCTTTACCTTTACGTTTTCGTTTTGAATGAGTCAATGTACCAAATTTCTTTTTCAGCTCTCTTTAATCGTCATTATTCAAATCATCAAAACCGCAAAAACTTTAAAAAAAAGTTCATTTCAGATATGAATTCAGTGAAAAACTATGAGCGATTCAGCATTGCCTGAAAATCCAAGATCTTTTTTCATTTGATAAAAACAATCTACATGATACCATTCATCAGTTGGTCCATAACTTCGTGCTCGTTTACTTGTATACTTTGTTCTTGATAAATGCAATGTATCTTTATCAATCGATTTATCACAACTATGACATGTACTTCGATTTGATTTAGCATATTGAACAGAAAATGTATCATTTGCATCATTTCCACCTAATTGAAAGATAAATATTCTATTGATTCAGAGATTCAATTTTGCTGTTCAACATAGTTTTAATGATTAATATAGAAAAACGTTCTTCAATATTAATAGAGCTATTGCAAAATACGATTTCAATAAGTTTTTAAGTGCACAGATATAGAAAAGCAAACTCTTCATACGTGTGACAGATACATCAGAGTATTTATCATGATCTGAAAATTGATACTTTCCCAGACATATGACAAAAAAAACTTTACTTTCATTTGTAGGCTCGTATGAATTTGCAATTTCAATCTTCAATTGAATATTTACTTGTCTTTTTCGTTTGTGTGCATAAATGTTTATCAGACCGTTATAAAGTAGACGTGAGTGACTTGCCTATCTATGAGTCGAATAGTTTTATTTTCATAAATACTTTAAAAAAAACAAAGATTTCTTTCTCGATAGAAACCAACACAATAAATGCATTTAGTCTTAGCAAAATTCGACATCATTATTCGTTTTTTAAAATTCTCAAAAAGAAATTAAATCTTACTCGATAGTACTGTAGCGTTTTCTTGAATACGATGACGAATTTTATCTTGGTCTTCCTAACGTAAATCATCAAAACGTTTTATAATATTTACATCAATTAATTTGACTTTTTTGAAAAAGCAATCTGTATGATACTAATTGGGAACCTAATGAAGAGATTATTTTAATTAATTAATTAATGTATGACAGACTTTGCCGTCAAATTTTGATGAGTATGTCATAAATGTAAATCGAGATGAATCTGTATCGATTGTCGACCAACAACTTTTGCATTTTGATCGATCCGATTTAGCATATTCGACTCGAAATGTAGAATCGGTGGCGGACATACTTAAGTCTTACCTTCTGTCGATGAAACTTCAAATAACAGAAAAGTAAAACATACCGATGGTATGTTCTCTATTGCCTTGTAATGATGAAATTACATATGACAGAATGCAATGAGGTCTGATGGTTGTGGTCACACTTTAGGGTGTGGGTGTGGTTTTTTCCTCTCTTAATACATCCACACCGACAGGGTGAGTAATGATCTTTTTCTTTTGAATATGAGAATAAAGTTAGACTGACCAAAGTAAGTGTCAGTAAGATGATGGAGTGAGTCATGTCCATTGAGGTGAGGCTCCACTTATATGAAGGACTTCCGGGTAGTCTCTAAAAGCCCAGTCAGGGATTGCTTTGATATCGGTGGCACACGACCGAACCTCCTGACTCATTGATATATGACATTGAATGAGTGCATGTGAATGACGCGGGTCTTTCGATGCAAGCATGAGCTTTACGCTCGCAACGACTCCACCAGACTGGTTCCCAGTCGCGTGTGAGTGCATGAATAGAATAGCTATTAATTCTTTTTTATTTAATCGTGATTTATTTTTGAGAGAAAGAAGACAAAAAGATAAAATTAATCATCGTTCTGAGTTTGTTCAATATTAAATCTTTGCACTCGATTATTATCGCGATCGACGACATAGAGATTGCCAAGTAGATCAAATGATAAACCAACAGGATATTTGAGTTGATTCGACTGTGTTCCTTCACCGTTTCCGCCAGCAATAACATTCCCCTGTTTGACTCCTTTTGGCCAACGCATGATTCGATTATTCCAACAATCAGCCACATAGACAGTTTCCAATTGATCTACAACGACTCCATAAGGACCTGACAATTTTGTAAGACTATTTCCTTCTCCTTGACCACCGGCTACGACAATACCTTCGTTTGCACCTGCCACCCATTTCATTACACGATGATTTTCACAGTCAGACACGTATACTGAATGATCTTGATCGACGAATACGTAGCGAGGTTTAGAAAGTTGATTGAGATGATTTCCGCTTCCATTGCCACCTGCAACCACTGTTCCTTCAGTGTCACCAATTGTATATCGTCTCACTTCATGTTTTTCATCGTCGACGACATAGAGAGAACCATCCTCGTCCATTGTCAAACCTCGGCAAGAAATATTTGAGATGATTGTTTCCCCACTAGTATCATTTCGGCGAGGCCATCGGACTACTCTTTTATTTTCGTAATCGCTTATGATGAGGCTATCTCTCTTGATGTCTACAATAACATCTCCTGTATAGTTTAACTGATAAACTTCATTTCCGTTTCCATTTCCACCGGCAACCACTAGGCCATACGTCACACCACATTTCCATTCTACAATACGGTGATTATAGGTATCAGCAACATAAATCGTTTGAGCATCATCGTTGACGCACAAACCCCATGGGCGATCGAGTTGATTGATTCCACTGCCTGATCCATTTCCTCCAGCAACAGTAAAACCATTCTGTTTCCATTTTGCATTCGGATGAATATCAATGAAACTTGCACGTAGTGGTGCTGAAATGAAACAAAAGTGTGAAGCAGAAATCAGCATCGATTTCATTAAAATAAGTCTTTCATTTGTTTTAAACAGTACTGAACTGCTCTCAGTTAAAATAAATAATATTTTCATATTTCAAAAGCCTTTACTTTTAACTTCATTAGAATCTGATTTTCTCACCGTTGAAAACAAACATTGTTGTTCAAATATTGTGTTCTATTCAAAGATTCTTTCATTTGTTTTTCTCTTAGAATATTCATCAGGATAGTAAGAACCCTTATTTTGACTTGTCGTCACTAAAATACTTAAGTCTGAACAAAAGTTATGGCAACACTACTGACAAATTAATAAATCAATTAAGATTTAAGAATCTAGGTGTTTGATCGATATCACATCAGAATCCGGACATTTTTTTTGAAACAAATGCACAGACAATTCATGAGAGATTTGCAAGAGCATGAAGACCTAGCAGTGTATCATATCGAACATTTAACTGGTACGGTTGGAAAGGATTAGTAATATATTTATCAGAAGAAATCACATAAATTAGAAGTGGGTATTTGGTGGTAGTATCGTTTTTCGTTCCTTCTAGGACAGAATGAGCAAGTTATGCTAGAGTTCAAACATGAGTAAAACTAATCGGATTATTTAAATAGATCGTTAAAAAGTATTTAACCATGATAATCTTCATTGCACAGAGATCATTTTATCATTAGAAAACGGGAGCTGAATAATTTCTTTTCATACTTCAGCTGATTGTTTCAAAAATGATGAAGATTTGTAACTTTCGAGTTTTGTAAGGAGCAGTTTTTACTTCAACAACGATATTGAACCGTTCAAATTATTTTCAATCGAAATCAAGACTTGTGGCGATGTCGTGTGGAGCATTTAAAAATTATTTTGTAATGTTTTTTTTTGTATTAAAATAATTTTGAAAATGAAAAAAATTGAGCGCTTAAATTCTTAATTTTTGTGTATTTTTGTTCAGGAATTCTTACATAACTTTTCAAGAAACTATATAATACGAAGATATGAAGTCTTTTTTCTCAAATGAATATGAGTTTCAAATAAAATTAAAAAACAATGTTTCTGTTCCCAACTATTTTAATACTTATTATTTCTATGTCTATTCTATCTGTCATTCTACATTATAATGAAAGAAACTGTTGAAAATTCTGGTTTGAATTAATATTTTTATTTGAAATTCATTACATCAGCATTATCTTAATTATGATGAGATCTATTTGTGTATCTGAGAAATAAAGATCTACTGAACATGAGATTGTTTTTTGTATAATTCTCTTTTTGTAGAATATTAAAACGCTAGTGAATGATAACTTTTCATTGACACTATGCTAAACAAAACAAGTTTTCAAAAAAATTCTAATTGAATTTTCGTTATCGAGAAAACGATTCAAAGTCTTCTATTTCAGAACTTGTATCCTTCGACTGATATCTTTCTTTGTTATCTGTTTTAAGTAATATTTACATACAATGTAATCTGCTTCTTTTTATGTTGATAGACTGGATACATCCATTGACATATATGGATCCAATAGATGAGATTATCTTCTTCTAACTGCATATTTAGTTGGAAGAAACATGTATACATACTAGCTAAGTGTGTTTCTCATGAGAAAAATCAAACATAATCAAAGTAAAATTTCAAAATCAATCATCCAAAAAACAAGGGTGCGGATATTGTGAAGAAGAACATCCATGCCCAAAAGTCATGTCATCTTTGACAGATCAGACCTCTTACTATCTTTATATGCGTTTATCTCAATTCTCATGTTTTTCATGAAAATCGATCTTTTTTTTTAGGAAGAGGGACTTAAACAATATATGAAGATACAACGACGAAAATGATTCAATTACCTCTAAATGCGTTGTTTTTTTTTTATTTTTCGAATATAGAGGAAGTTGAATGGTTATTAAAAAAAATCATATTTTTGCAACATGTGAACTATCATTCAATATTGACTATACCCAGTTGGTATCATTATCAAGAAAGATTTTACTTCTATATATCTTAAGGTTTAAAGTATGTATAATGACAAAAAATGAAAAAAAAACACATTTGATAAAATTTTTTCAAGGTTTTACTAATAATGCATCTTCTACATGATCAATTGAGTACAATGCATGTTCAATAACAATTTGAGTATTACATTTACAAGCATATCTTTTCAATTTGTTCGACTCTGTACATTTGAAATATAAAAAAGTCAAGTCAAAATAAGCTTGAACCTTATGAAACATATGATTGAAACTTATTTTCGAAATCTAACTACAACTATTTGTATTTTCATCATTTCTTCTAATGCGAATAGAAAAACAAAAAAACGTTTGATCGCTTTACATTTACCTGCGGTTTAGATGAAAGCATTAGAAATTTAAAAACAAATTCATATTTTATCACTTGTCTTCGATAGCCAATCGATCATCCATAATAATTCTTAACTAATATCCGATCCAAAATAAAAGGCAAGTTACGATTTTTCGAATAACTTTTGACAGAAACGAGATATAAAGCTACAGTTTTCACCATTCGAATGAACCATGTCGATGCCATCAGTCGGCATAGAACTCATTAAGACGAAAACTACTTTTTTATAGGTACCTTTGAATCAACACTTTTCTTTCAGTATTTTCATCAATTTTCACAATAATCTTAAACTCAAATTATGTCAAAATGTAGCTCAAATCACTTTTTCTTGCTATAAAAGTAACCTTGTTTTCTTTTTATGCCGGTAAGAATACTAAGTTGAGAAATAATGAAATGTTTGTTAATTTTATAGCGAGAAAATGATTTGAGCTACATATTGACATACTTTGAGTTAAGATTATTGTGAAAATTCATGAAAATACTGAAAGAAAAGTATTGATCCAAAGGTACCTATAAAAAAGCAGTTTTCATTCTAATGAGTCCTATACTGATCAATGTCCCGGACATCGCTGTTTTGAATGGTGATAACCTCAGCTGTCTATCTTGTTCCAATCAAAAATTGTTCGAAAAGTAGTGACATACCTAGTATTTTAGATCGGATAATAACTGTAAGAAAAAAAGATGCAATCTATCGCAAAATAATATGCGAAGTGATGCATAAATAGAAATGAAAATGCGACGAAAAAACAATCGTTTACAACGTACGATAAGTGAAAGAGAAAGATATTCAAAGAAAAGAAAAAACGAATAGAAAGTTATATGAAGACAAACAAACTCGAACTCAAGAGAAAAAAAACGAAACAATATACGTTTCAACCAGTAAATGAACGATTAGATCATTAAAAAATAATCTTTTTTAAAACTTGAAATAGTCGATGTACTGAAGTACTCTAAAGAAATCTAAACTCATGAAAACTGAATGCATAAAGTCACCTGAAATCGGACAAGAAAAAAACTCATAAATACGCGTTTTAATCTTTATTTGAGTGTCTTTATCATGAAATTGATATTTTTATTTGTTTTTCTGATTGAGAAATGTTACTTCTAGT